AATCTGTGCACTCCGGTTAAGTTGATTTAATTTAAGGAAGTGAATTATATCTGGTTCTTTGTGTACTCCACTTTTTTCATATAGGTATTTTCAATGCTTAGAAAACTTATGAGGAATTCATAGGAAATAATGCCCAGGTATTAATGGGTTATAAACTAATGTGCAGGGCTGGATTACCCATTAGGCTAGACTAGGCCATGGCCTGGGACCCCCAATGATTGGGGGCCCCCTTAAAATGGATTTTTTGAAAAAAAAATTAAAAAAACTAAGTTAAATTAAGTTCTAATTTAATAAAATAAAGTAAAATTTAATTTTTTATTATTTATTTTTATTTCAAATATGCTTTCTTAAAGGAAAAGATATATAAATACTTTTATATCTGAATAAATAAAAAATATACAGGAAAAAAATTTAATCTAAGGGCCCAAAAAATTGAACGGCCTAGGGCCCCGCGTACGCTTAATCCGTGAATGTGCTAATGTGTGAACTCCTAATATGCACAGTGTTTTTCTCCATATTTTCTAAACAATGATTTTAAAACTACTTATTAAGGTTGATTATCATGCATATCTTCAGAATTTTTTTTTCTAGTTGTAGGAAAGCTATTGTAATAATATTTTAGTAAATTGAAAAGATTGTTATTCATCACAATACATATAAATAATTAAAATATACATTAAAACTAAGGCATAAAAATTTTAATGCACTAAAAATTTTGTTAGAATTTTTATTTGTTTAAAAAAAATTAATTCGCCACTACTAATGTTTCCCACAAAAGAAACATGATGGGTTTGCAAAATCTGGTTATACCAAAATTAGAAAGTTTATTGCTTTACCTTTCCTATTTAATAAAAAAACTTTTCTGAAACAAAGTGGCGTACTAGATAAGCCTTTAAATTATTTAGAAGTAGTGGTAAGTGAAATCCCTACTAATCAAATTTACTAAACAAAGGATCATACATAAATAAAAGACTACCACTCGAAAATATTTATCTGCTGCCCGGAGCAAGTTGGCCTCTCTGCAAGAATTCCTAATCTAAATCACAAATAGCGTCGTAAATAAGAAATAGAAGAAGAAGATTTCTAACGAAATTATTTTTTTTTAAATAATAGGTAAAAGTAAAGAGGTAGTTTTTGAATGCTCTGTTTGAAATTTGCCGCAGGTCAGCTTTGCATTATGGAACACGAAATACTCTTTACTGAGTTACACGAAATAAAAAAACTTTTAAAAATTAATCAGTTCAAAATAATATATGCAAAATTTAAATGTAATTATAGATATTCGGATTTAGTTCGTGACATGCATCGACTGGCATGTTAAGATCAAACTTAATCACTCAAAAAACTAAAATAAAAATGTATAAGAATCTTGTTCTGCCCATCTTACTTTATGCAAGTAAAACTTAAGACTTAATGCAGGCACCCAACGTGCTCTGTATATTTTTGAAAGAAAACTCATCAAGGCTATTTTTGGCCTGGTACAAGAGAAAGGCTGTTGGTGAACTAGATGGAATTTTAAGTTACATTTGGCTCGATAAAAATAATAAATGTATAAGATTCTTATATAAGACTCAAAACAAAAATGTATAAGACTCTTCCTCTACCTGTCTTGCTACATGCAAAACTTAGACTTAATGCCGATACCCAGCGTGCTCTGGATCTTTTTTAAAGCAAACTTCTCAAGGCTATTTTTGGCCAAGTACAGGAGAGAGGCTGTTGGCAAACTAAATATAATTTTGAGTTACATCTGACTCGATAAAAATAAAAATGTATAAGATTCTTACATAACACTCAAAACAAAAATGTATAAGACTCTTCCTCTGCCAGTCTTGCTATATGCAAGTAAAACTTAGACTTGATGCAGATACCCAGCGTGCTCTGTATATTTTTGAAAGAAAACTCATCAAGGCTATTTTTGGCCGGATACACGAGAGAGGCTGTTGGCGAACTAGATATTATTTTGAGTTTTATCTGGTTCTATGGACAGCTACAGATAACAAAGGTCATCTGGAGAAATAGATTAAGATGCCTTGGCCATGTCTGGTGAAAAGTAATACAGTTAAAATTGCCATTTTTAAAAATCTTATAGGATCTCGAATCAAATGAAGACTTCTAACTAAGTGGTGTAAATGACATAAGTGTCTTGAANTATTTTTATTTTAAATATGCTTTCTTAAAGGAAAAGATATATAAATACTTTTATATCTGAATAAATAAAAAATATACAAGAAAAAAATTTAATCTAAGGGCCCAAAAAATTTGAATGGCCTAGGGCCCCGCGTACGCTTAATCCGGCCCTGCTAATGTGTAATATGCACAGTGTTTTTCTCCATATTTTCTAAACAATGATTTTAAAACTATTAAGGTTGATTATCATGCATATCTTCAGAAAAAATTTTCCTAGTTGTAGGAAAGCTATTGTATTAATATTTTAGTAAATTGAAAAGATTGTTATTCATCAGAATACATATAAATAATTAAAACATGCATTAAAACTGAGGTATAAAAATTTTAACGCAGTGAAAATTTAGATAAAAGTTTTGTTAGAATTTATATTTGTTTAAAAAATTTTGGCATTAATTCGCCACTACTATTGAATATGTTTCCCACAAAAGAAACATGAAGGGTTTGCAAAATCTGGTGATACCAAAATTAGAAAGTTTACTGATTTACCTTTCCCATTTAATATTCAGAGAACAGAAATCCCTCGCAAAGATTTTCAACAAAATTATTTTTTTTTTAAATAATTGGTGAAATAAAACGGTGAGTTTTTGAATGTTCTTTTAGAAATTAGCTAAGCATTATGGAACACGAAATACTCAGGGGGATCTTTACTGAGTTACACGAAATAAAAAACTTTTAAAAATTAATCAGTTCAAAATAATATATGCAAAATTTAAATGTAATTATAGATATTCGGATTTAGTTCGTGACATGCATCGACTGGCATGTTAAGATCAAACTTAATCACTCAAAAAACTAAAATAAAAATGTATAAGAATATTGTTCTGCCGATCTTACTTTATGCAAGTAAAACTTAAGACTTAATGTAGATACCCAGCGTGCTCAGTAAAACTCATCAAGGCTATTTTTGGCCTCGTACAAGAGAAAGGCTGTTGGTGAACTAGATGGAATTTTAAGTTACATTTGGCTCGATAAAAATAAAAATGTATTAATTTCTTATATAAGACTCAAAACAAGGACTGTATATATAACACAAGACTAAATTTATAAGACTCAGAACAAAAATAAAAATGAAGAAGACTAGACCTGTCTTGCTCTATGCAAGTAAAACTCAAGACTTAATGCAGGCATCCAGCGTGTTCTGTATATTTTTGAAAGAAAACTCACCAAGGCTATTTTGGCCGGATACACGAGAGAGGCTGTTGGCGAACAAGATATTATTTTGAGTTATATCTGGTTCTATGGACAGCTACAGATGACAAAGGTCATCCGGAGAAATAGATTAAGATGCCTTGGCCATGTCTGGTGAAAAGTAATGCAGTTAAAATTGTCATTTTTAAAAATCTTATAGGATCTCGAATTAAATGAAGACTTCTAACTAAGTGGTGTAAATGACATAAGTGTCTTGAAAGTAAGAAATCGGAGAGGAGTCAAAATGACAGGAAAACGTTGGAAAATGTGAAAAATGCCATCATGCTCATAAGTCAGACGTTAGCCTTTAATTGTTATGAAATAGGCACATGAGAATACCGAAGTTCGTAAAAAAAATTGCTTCTATAGTAGACCTTGATGATCGAAATACTGTCAGATACGTTACATTTCGACATTTTTTTTAAAAAAATGAACAACAATAAGATTCAGCATGCCCGGATCTCCCTAATGGTTTAAAAAGTCGAGTTTTCTTCCTCAAAAGAGGACAATAATTGTCACCCTTAATATCCATATATTGTGTGAATTTTATGTAAAACATCTTGCAGGATACGATATCATCTTCTTAAGAATTGATTGAAAAACAATTATAAGCCAAGTTTTCCTTATTTTTGATTTTTAAGTCCCTCGTTACTAATTAATTCTTTAAAAAAAGTAATCATGCTCAATGTCATCTAAATTACTCCAAAACTAAAAATAGTAATTAACAACATTTATAGATACAAAAATAATAACCTTTGGAGTTTTGTCAGTTTTCTGATCTGCAACCCACAAATTAAGTTTAAAAAAAACTATTAATCTAATATTAGGTTGCACTAATCATCCACAAACAGAAAAATTAAATGCATAAAGAATTTGATGTTTTGTTTACTCGAAGTACAAATAAATTAACATAGATAATTTTAAAATAATATAAAAAGATATAATTCAAACTGGTGTCATTTCAAACATAAAATATTCATCCCTAAAGCGATAAAGTATTAAAAAAGCAATGAGCTCAATTATAAAAAAAATCGAAAAGAGAAAATCTTGACTTTATGTTACTTAGTAGTACGAATGATTTCATATTTCCTGCCACTATGTCAACTGTTCATTCATTTCTTGTATTGTATTTCACAAAAAAAGAACGGAAGAGAAAAGGTTGAATTTAGCCAACAATATTTAATAATGAGAATCATCCTAATTTCCATTACTATGACAACCATTCATTCTTATTTCTTTTGTATTAGATTATAGGTACAAGAAAATATATCACTTCAGAGTTTGCATATTGGGTTGTGGCTAAAGATCGGCTTAACTTGATCAAACAATGAATAACTGTTTCAAATTCATAGCAGTTAAGAACATATTACAATAATCGAAAAAAGATCTATTTCCTGTGATGATAGAGCATTCATAAATGGTTTTAAATTAAAATTTCATAAGAATTTCAATTTCTTTAACTTTTCTCAAAAATTATCAATTTTCTTGAATTTTCCGGACACACATATTTCTTTGCATTTTCCTAGTAATTATGGTCACCATACACCTTGTTGAATTTTTAAATGTACAAATTGTAGTACAGCAGTTGGTGGCTAAATTTTCTTTTAAACATAAAAAAATACACATTCGAAATCAATAAAACCATTTTATTATTAACCTAGTAGATATCTTGAAGAATAAAAAATATTTTGTAATTTTCAAATAGTCAACAAATAAAACTTTAACAGTTCAATTATAATATACAGTGCGCTAAAAAAACAAACACCCGGAATGATCTAATTATCGGATCGTCACATACTAGGACTTAATCATAATAGCTTGAAGGGGTGACCTCAAATATGCTAATTAATTAGTGCAAACGATATTTTAAAAAATCAGACACAAAAATGTACTTTTTTTAAACAAACATAATTATTTTTTAAGGATATCTATTTTTGATCCCTAATTTTAATGGAGATAGCCACAATTTGAAAAAGATGGTCCCAATAACTTGTGCAGGTGTGTGGTCCTAAGTTAGGATCCATTAATGTTAATTTTACTTTTTGAATATTTTGAGAACTTTTTAAGCTAATTGAAAAATTCTATCACACAATTATAAAATTTGTTTACCAAAGATAATTCCATGCAAAAAATAGCATCTAGTAAATATTTGTAATTATTTTGCTTAATAATAATCAAAAATATTTTGAATTGTTAGACATACCATTTTTTACATAATTTTAAAGAATATAATCCTACAATGCTAAATACAAAATTTGAGTTTACTCAGTCAAATAACTCCAGAGATAACAAATTTTAAAAAAGTTGTAATTGCATATTTGAGGCCAACCCCTCAAAACCAATGAGTCCTAGAACGTTAAGATCTGATTATTAGATCAAGAGTTATTTAGGGTTGTCTTTTTTTGTACATTGTTACATGCCTATTTTTAAACGAGATAAAAGCCTTTTCAGTGGAAGTATTTAAGATTCATTTCAGATGCACAAAATTAATGAATGTTTCTTATGCACATAACAACATTCTGATGCACATTTCAAAGTCAAAATTTTATTCTGTAGAAACTCAGCAAGAGGAATTTGAGCAAACACAGTTATAATCATATCTTGAAGTTACTGATATACCATTCAGGCAGAACTTGGTATTCTGTAGGAGATTTAAGCTCTTCACACGTGATGGGACTCCCAGGTTTCCAGTAAAATTTGTACACTACACTATACAAAAAAATTCTAAAATTAATAAAGAAACCACACCTAATTAAAAGTTTATATTTCAATTATCAAATCATAAAAAGACAGTAAAAAATCTGTAATTTTTAAAACAAACAAATTCACAATTATAAAAATCAATAAAATTTATTTACTTTACTCTGTATTACTCTTTAAAAAGGGTTATGTTTTTAAAAACTAAAAATAAATAGATGACATATTGAGATTTGATATTTCATTATTCTAATCATGAAAAAACTGGGAAAAATCTGAAATTTAAAAAAAAATCATAATTATGAAAATTAATAAATTTGATGTATTATACTCCATGAACACAAGACTTAAAATACGAGTTAAAATATAAGTTAATAACATAAGTTATATTAAAATAAATAAATATAAAAAACATAAAATATAAGTTATATTTTTAAAAGGAAGAAATAAATCTATGACATATTAAAATTGCATATATCATTATGATCAATATGAGAAAATTATGAAAATTATTTAGTTTTAATATTAGTTATAAAAATATTCAGTTTTAGTTTAGTTCTTCCATGTATTTTACTCTGTGTATACAACACTTTAAAAAAGGGTTATGTTTTTAAAAACTAAAAACTAATAAGTGACATTATATTGAAATTGGATATTAATCACAAGAAAACTTTAAACAATCTGTAATTTTTAACATGAATTCATAATTTATTTTTAAAAATTTATAATTCATAAATTCATGAAAATCAATAAATCTATGTATTTTACTCCATATGCACAAGACTTAAAATATAGTTACATTTCTAAAAGGGAGAAATAAACCTATGACACCGTATTAAATTGATTATTCTATTATGAGATATCATGAAAAAAACATTAGTTTTTAAAACAAACACATTCATAACATAAATAATTTTATTTCCTGTCATAATAATATTAATCACTTTTGATAATTAAAAAAAAATTTACCTTCTACTTCGAGACATTAAAATTTGACTGTGCAAATTAACATTTAGGATTAAATTTTCATACAAATGTAAATCTTAAAAAAATATATACAATACTTACTAAGGATCATCTTTTTTTACACAACGTTTCACGAAATCTAGGAAACATGAACTAAAGTTCAAAGTAGCTGCTGGAGACCACATATTCTGAAAACAAAATTTTTTAAAAAACAAAAACTATAATTTTTTCAAACTATTTACAGTAAACTGAACTGCATTTCAAATATTATAAAGTCATTATAATTAGGTATACACTTCACACTTAAGATATAACCAAATACTTTTCAATATTTTGCTTTATTTTTAACTAAAATATTTTAAAAAAATATATAAAAAAATTTAAGCTTTATTAAAATCAGCTTTCGAGTATTTAGTTTTATTATTATCAGATATTTTGTAAATAGTTTCGAAATTTTAGAAGATATTCTTTCATTGTTTGTACAACTTTTAACTTTTTACAGTACTTATTAATTTTTTTTTTAAAATAATGTACTGCAACTATTTTGACCAAAAATTCTAATTTTTACAAAACTTAACAAACCTGAATTAGATTTTTAAGTTTGATATTTGCATATTGCTAATGTTTTTATTCTTTTCTTATTTTATATGTATTTTTCTTTCACTGCTTCTTTTATGTCATTCTTCCTAATATAGCCACTTGCATGGATCTAGAGACCCAAAAGGAGCTTCTTCACTTTCTTCCTTTTATTATATTTATTTTTATGTATTGAAATTTTATTTTAAACTTATTAAAAGGAAATACAGAGATATTAAAATAATTTGACATCTGAATAATCAATACATGTATTTGACATAAATCAGAGTTAGATAAAAAGATGCCGCACAGAGATATATTCAAGGAGAGTCTAAAATTTTGTGGATACTTTTTAACAATTTATCTTTAAAAAATATTTACATTATACAAAAACAAAACAAAAAAATTCATTTGCATACATTTCTAATTTTTATGGCTAACTAGTAATATTTATCTTCATTAATTTATAGATTGCTTTTCATGCCTATCAGGAATATTTAAAAATGTTTACTGTTTTGGCTCTTTTTGGAATAAAATTCTTTTGTTACCAAAGAACATTTAAAAAAACTATATTGAAAGAAAACCATATTAAATAACTCTAAAATAAAACATAACTATTGTTTTGTTTTTTTATGTAAAACTTACATTATCTTCATTAAATTAAAAGAAGATACATATGCGCCACTATAGATATAGTGTAAAAAAAAATTATTCTACCAATTAAAGGCAATACAAAGATAACAAGGCAAAATAAGTAATAATTTAACTTTCTGCAGGACAGAAAAATTTGAAACAAAATTTTAATCAAGAACTATGGTCATATAATTTAATAGGCACAGTCAATAGGATGCAAGCTACTTTATTTTAATGTTTACAAAATTTAAGTAGCCAATTAAAAACAGCGTTGCTTAAGAGATAAAAACGTTTAGAATTTCAGTATTTCTTATTAAGGCCAAAAAAAGAGACAGATTTTACGAAATCAACTGGCAGAAAATGCTAAAGTTATTTTAATATTTATCGTACATTGAACCACAGTCCATCAAGCATCATTTTTTTTTTTTGTACAGGGTGCATAGCCAAATCTTTCAACAAAAAATAAGCACATTTTAAGTCCCTTTTATGCACTAAAAAAATATTTTTAAGCACTATATTCAGTAACAAAATGCAAAATAATTTTCAAAGACTAATAATAAATAATTTTTCATGATCATGATAAAATAACTATTTTCTGACAGAACTCTTTTTCTTAATTATATTAGCCACCATATAAAAAGATCGAGAGATTTTTGGGTTTGATTTCTGGGGGTGGAAAATGAAGCCTAAAATTGAGAATACCTTGCTAAATGCAGCAAAGTTGCACACGAGAGTGCAAGCATCTTGTCAAACCCAGCAAGCATTTCTTCAAACATGTAAAATGATTGGCGCTTTCATACGCTACGGACAAACGGTATGCAGAAATGCATTGAGTTTGAATGAATTGTGAAAACGTTGAATAGAACAACGTGAACCCCACGCTTTTGTATAATACGTGACCAAAATTGACATGGTAAAGAAAAACATTTAATTTTCGAAAATAGAAAATTAAAGCACTTTTCAAAAACACTCAATAAAAAAGGCACCTTTAAGAACTTTTAAAGATGAGAAAATTTCCCACTATTAAGCACTTTTTTAAAACGCTATGCACCATGTCAAAGTTGAAAGGATGCTAAAAAAATATTCGAGATAGCGAGCTTTTGAGATAACAAGTTCAGAACTAAATATGTTCTAAAAAGTAGAAAAATATACTCTAAAATAATACTATAAAAAGTAGAGCCATGAAACATAAGAATAAGCACTAATAAATACGTATATAATGATAGCTGACTATTAGCTAAATACAACAATGAGAATTTTATTTTTAAAAGTAAGACAAAAATAATTATGCATTAAACAGAAAAGAATTGGTTTACAATTAACTTACATTGTGATTTTTCTAAAAAAATTAATTTTTTATTTCAAAAAAATTTGACACAACAAGGTTTTGAGAAGAAACCCTTAGACATAGGAACAGGGGTGATTGTGAGTCCAACTCAAAAATCCTAAAAAATTTTTGAGTAAAATCATTAATGACGCATTTCAAAAAATTTATGTTTTTATAAATTTATATCACTGATAGTTTCAGTTTACTTTTATCTTCAATCGCATTTAGTATTCTACCAGAAAAAATATTTACTAATGAAAGATGCAAAGTATAAATTCTAGTTCTAATATTCTTAAATAAAATATACAAGAATTTTTATACATAAATGTGATCTATGATTTCTTGAAACTTCCATAGTACCAGGGTTGGCAAGATTTTGCCACAGGTGGAAAAAACCATGGTAAATACCGGTAAAAACCGTCCTGGCAAAAACAGGTTTTTGCCAAGCAAATTGGCAAAAACCTATATTTACCAAGATGAGAGGACAAAAACACATTTTTGATACAAAATTATTCCTAAAATTGAATAATATACTATGAATATAAATAATTACAAAAAAATTAACAAAATTATTATTCCATAATTAAATGATAATGTAATAATATATCATTTTAGTAGTTTAAAACATTATTGATTGGAAAATTTGTGATTATTCTCTTTTTTCCAGTGAAATGAACTTATTTTAAATTAATATAACTATAATTTAAAGCATAAAATATCTATCAACATGTGTAGTTAATTATTGTACAAATAATAATTTTTTATAATAAATAATAATATTATACAAATAATAATATTTATTTGTTTGTAAAAAAACATTTATTTTAGGATTCTAAAATGAAAAGAGATCAAAAACTTTCAATCTTTTAAAAATTATTACCCTTATATTAATTATTAATATGTTAAAAATAATTTTTTCATGTAATGTATCAAAATTATTATTCCTTATGATTGATTTAAATTTGTTTCAAGTATTTTGTAATAATATTTAATCAGCAATTTAGATAATTTGGTTTTTGCCGGTTTTTACCAGTTTTTGCCACTGTCCTGGCAAAAAAACCTTTTTGCCGGCAAAAACTCCAACCCTGCATAGTACAGTTACGGAAAAATCCGGAAATCCGAATTTTTTCCGGAGCACAATCACCTCTGTAGGAATTCATTTTTAACAGGTAGATTTACTATGCCAAAGAAAAAAAAATTTTTTTGACATAACAAGATTTTCGAGACATCAAGAGTATACTGTACATCAAAATTTCATATGAGACATTCGCATTATGAAAGAATGACATACAATACATTTAAGAATATTTTTTTTTACTTAAACACTAGTTAATATGTTTAGCTAATAGCACAAATAAATATTTGAATTTCTAAAAAAATATTTGAAAAAGTAATGAAATCAGAAATGCTAGATAGTAAAAAAGAAATTTTTATAAATAACTTATTTTATAAAGGCACTAAATCATTAACATAACTAAACTTTAAAACTAGTATAGACCTAAATAAACATAATTTTAAATAAACATAATATAATAAACATAAATAATATATGTATAATACAATTTCACAGCTTTATACAAAATCTTTGTAAATAAATGTCTTACCTGAGCCATTTTAGGGATGTCATGAACTGGAAAAATATCCAAATTCCTAACAACGCCTTGATCATCACGAAATCCACATATTATCTTTGGAATGCCAGCTAAAAATGATTGGAGCCACCATTTTAATAACTTGAACCTTTAAAATAATTAACACTATTTCAGCAAAATTTATAATTTGAAACAGTTTTAAATTTAAAACTAGGTAAGATTCATGAATGAGTTCCTTGTTTAAAAAAAAAAAATTATGCAGCAAATTTATTCAGATTTAATAAAAAATTTTAAGCAATGCAAAAACTATCAGAATTCAAAATAATAATTAAAACTAAAACCTTTAAACAAAATTGATTAAAAATTCACAAGAATTTAAAATTAACAATCATAACTTTTTAAAAAAAATATTCTTTTCACATTATTTGTTTGTTTCTTTATCAATTGTTTAGGCTTCATTTACATTATTATAATTAATACTAATAAAAAGTAACTTCACTAAAACAATTTATATATTTAACTATACAAAAAAGAAAAAACTAGAAAAAAATTTCAAATTCATTAGGATATAGTATTTATAATACCCTTATAACAGGTGGGCTGAAAAGTTCGTAGGTTGACACATAGATGGCGCTACTATTTTTAAATCCATAAGATTTTTAATTAGTTCTAACCTTTAAAGACACGTGTATAAATTTGACAGCTGTCGGACCATTAGTTTGTGAGATATAGTATTTTTAATGAAGCAACTTCTGTTAGTTTAAAAACAATGGATAAAAAGGAATTTCGTGTGTTAATAAAGCATTGTTTTTTAGCGAAAAAAAATACTGCTGAAGCCAAGACTTGGCTTGATAAACATTATTCGAACTCTGCACCAGGAAAATCAACAGATGAGAAGTGGTTGCTAAGTTTAAACGAGGCGAAATGAGCACCGACGACGATGCACGCATTGGACGCCCCAAAGGGGCTGTTACCAACGAAAACATCAAAAAAGTCCACAAAATAATTTTAGATAACCGTAAAGTGAAGTTGATAGATATCTAACACTCTAAAGTTATCAAAGGAACGTGCTGGACATATCGTGAATGAATATGTGGGTATGCGAAAGCTCCATGCAAAGTGGGTGCCGCTCGAGCTCACAATCGACCAAAGACAAAAACGAATTGATGATTCTGAGCTGTGTTTGAAACTGTTTAATCGTAATAAACCCGAATTTATGCGTCAATATGTGACAATGGATGAAACATGGCTCCATCATTTCTCACCAGAGTCCAATCGACAGTCAGCCGGGTGGACTGCACGAGATGAACCAACTCCAAAACGTGGAAGGACGCAACATTCAGATGGCAAAGTTATGGCATCATTATTTTGGGATGCGCATGGTATAATATTCATCGACTACCTTGAAAAGGGAAAAACCCTCAACAGCGACTATTACATAGCGTTATTGGAGAGTTTGAAGGACGAAATCGCAGAAAAACGACTCCATTTGAAAAAGAAAAATGTGCTGTTTCATCAAGACAATGCACCGTGTCACAAGTCAATGAAAACGATGGCAAAATTATATGAATTGGGCTGCGAATTGCTTCCGCATTCACCGTATTCTCCAGATCTGGCCCCTAGCGACTTCTTCCTGTTCTCAGACCTCAAGAGAATGCTCGCTGGAAAGAAATTTAGCACCAATGAAGAAATAATTGCCGAAACTAAGGCCTATTTTGAGGCGAAGGACAAATCATACTATAAAAATGGTATCGAAAAATTATATGACCGCTATAACCGCTGTATCCCCCTTGAAGGACACTATATTGAATAATAAAATAAAATCTTATCAAAAAAAAAAATTTCTATGTTAGCCTACGAACTTTTCAGCCCAACTGTTAATTTATGTAACAAATGATTAAAATACCTTAAGCAAGTTCTCACAAAATAGATTTCTCCCACTAAATCTCATTTGTTTACAGAAATTTCTTTAAGGAAGGAATATCAACAAAACGTAAGTTACAGTGAAATCTGTATAAGCTGATTCACTTGTAGAATAAACTTATAGACAGGAATGAGTTATTATTTTTATATCATGTTATTCTTATATGTATCACGTTTTTCATGCATCCATATTTTTTTTATTTATTAATAATCAGAATAAAGATAAATTTAATTTAATTATTTTTATTTTAACTTTAAAATTTTATTTAGAAAATGCCATATATATTTCAATAAAGGGGACTAATTTCAGAATAGATTGAGTTATAATTTGCAACACAAATTTAATGCCTAAAGTGATTGATTTAAATAAGTAATGTACACCAGATACTTATTAGGTTTCTAAAAAAAGTTCTGCAGCACCCTTGCTAAAAGATCTCGTTGATAGTAATAGTGAATCAAAACCCGAAGTTCAGTTTAATCCAAAGTCATTTAAAGTTTATTGGTGAAAGTTTAAACTAAGAACACCAAAAAACAACACAAAATAAAAATTTATCTAAGTTAAATTTTTGCAAGTGTTGCAGAGCTTTTTTTATAACCTAATACTATAAATATTTTTTTAAAAATATCAATACAGAAGAATTACAATTAAAAAGCAATCTAAGAATATAAGTAATTAGAAAGCTTAGCATTATATTTATTTCATCACTTTAAATTAATTTTTTTATGTTTATAAATCAATTCATTATAAAAGGCCCCTATATTTTCCCTATATGATCAACTCATCAAGAGATTTTGGTTAGCTTACAACATTGTTCACAATTCGGTGAAATTTTAAAAGAAATCATAATAGCATGAGAAAGTTTTTTCCAGTCAACTTATAAAAGGGTTAGAATAGAATTTAATAACATTCCTAGAAAAATTTTTAAATAAATATTTTAATGGTCAAAATACAAAGTATAATGGACAGGTTTGGTTCTTTTTATTACATAGGATAAATTCGATTCTTGATAATAAAGGTCAATCAATACAGGTATTCAACTTACAAGAATGGCTAACTAGATAGGTTTTTCACTATATTTTTAGAATTGATAACACTTACTATTTATTACAAATGACTAGAGTATATATTTAGTTTGCCTTTATTTTCATATAAAATTTGCTTTATAGTGTTACTATTAGTGTGCTATTAACGCACACTAATAGTAACACTATAATATAATATATATATTAGANGCCGCTTACCACCCACATTTTTCCTTAACTCTTACACTATGAATATCGCAGGAAAGTGCTAACCACACCAGTTTCACAGGCTTGTGAGTAACTATTGCTTCTTCTAAAAAAGTCTTTAAACTTCGAAAAATTAAAATTTTATAAATAAGGACAAAAGAAGCTGAAATATCGCACTTTTGATTTATTATGTAGTCAAAATTTTGATTTTAAAAAGCGGCGGCATTGATTTTATTAAAGGATGTTTTTAACATGTATTAATATTGTAACGATTCGGTTCTTGCCGATTTGATTTTATAAAGCGGCTGATTTTATTATCCGGTTATTTTATTAGCGGCGGGCACTGTATATATATAAATTTAAAGTCAATTCCTACTTAGGTCAACAAAGAAAATTTTTATTTTAGTTACTTTTATTTAATAATTGCAAGTTTTTCTCCCATATAAAACTTGTATAATATATATATAAATTTAAAGTCAATTCCTACTTAAGTCAACAAAGAAAATTTTAATTTTAGTTACTTTTATTTAATAATTGCAAGTTTTTCTCCCATATAAAACTAAAATTAATTAATTAAATTTTAGTAATGAATTAACATGTGAAAAAATTGTACTAACATCAAGTGTACACTACAAGTTTCAAAAAAAAAAGTAATTGAACTTAAATGAATAAATAAAAAATATTTTATTAACAATTGAAAAGTTGAACAAGACATATAAATATACATATATATATAGAACAAGACATATATATATAGAGAGAGTGCGAACTAAAAGTAGGAATTAGAAGAAGAAAAAAAAGGCACATCGTATCAGATAACTATAAAATTAAAAATTTCGTGACGTGAACTACATGTGCTACCATGTAATGTTTTGTTTATTGAATTTATCGGACACAGCGAACATAAAATAATTAAATGTGCGCTATAAACTATTTTTTTTTTTGTTCAAAAAGAGACAGTTAAAAATTATCAATGATGCTATTTTTAAAATATGTGAAAAACTGAATCGCTTATAATAAAATTTAAAACAATGACTAATGCTTAATAAATCAGAAAATTCCCTTTTGTTTTTCGCTCATCCTTATTTAATTATGGAATTAATATTTGAAAACACCATAATAACATCAAGCGTCACCCACTGCAAGCTCAAAAAAATTTATTTGAACTTGAGTGCATGAATAAAAAGTATTTTATTAACGATTGAAAATTTTTACAAGATATATAAATATATGTAGGGAGAGTGTGAACTAATAATAGGAATTGACAAAGAGTTTTATCATTTCAAAGTAGACCTTAAATTGATTTAGGGATATGACCTGGTTTATGTTCTGTATAGAAAACATTTTTTTCCTATAAAGATAAATATTGTTTTACAAAAAAAAAATTACAAATAATTGGCATTCTACATTAACTATATTTCTTAACAAATATGAGAATTACTGAGAAATTACCTGGCAAAGTTTTGATTTTGTCTGTGAGTAGTAATTATCCTAGATGTCTTCAGTTCTGTGTAACTTTTAGTAGACACTGGTTCAGCATTGGGATTATTCAGGTATTCAGGATCTTTCCCGTCAACTTCAGCACTGAATAAAATAGTATGACTATTCAGTCGCCCTTTAAGTACAATACAATACTCTTCTTTTTCATTGACAGGAACAGACAGGTCTGGTGAAGATGTAGGCGAGTCTGGAATTAACCAACGTATAATATATACCTACAGATATAACAAAAACATTTTGGAAGATGTTTAAACAGGGCTCAAAATTAAAAGTGATCGATTAGTGTGGGACTACAAAAATTTGATTCAAACCACCATAAAATAATTATTAGTGGTCTTCCACACCGGCAATCTTTATAAAGGTATGCAGGGGACTATCTAAGTATTTTTGAGAGGTACCTATTTTGTGAAAATTTAGACATAATTTGCAAAAATTAAACATTACATTAAAAAATCAACACAAAAATATGGTAAAAATATGGATTTATCGTTTCTTACGGGATACAAAAATAAAATTATGAGAAGAATTATTTTGTGAAACTACCGTTTTTCCTAAAGTTGAATTTGTACTGGACAATGGGTAGTAAATTTGGACTAGACAGACCCCTGGTATGGCATGTTGTTTTGGCTTTTTTCATTTTCATTTTCAAGCTGTAGTCTGTGTTTTTGTCACGGAAGAGCATATTTCATCGTAATTGTGACATTCATTCTCTATATTTTTCATATAAATTCAATTTATAAACTTTTTTTTCTAATAATATCAAATAGCGACATGAGAACAAACTAGTGAAAACGTGTACCGACTAGTAATATCTTTTTAATTACTAATATCAGACCAGTGATTTCTTAATTCCTACACCTATTTTTAGGTTATTTAATTTCAACATAAAACCAGATTTATGCGGAATGCAAATATTATTTGAGGAAATTCAAATATTATTTGCATTCACAAATCCCATCTCTATTTTAGCTTGCACGTTGTAAGCTAGTATAATTTTCTCATTTAACTGTGAACACGCGATTTTAAATTAATTAGATAATTAGCAGCTGAAATGTCAATTATCCAGCTACTGTGACAGGATACATACAATCTGTCAAATGAAAGAAACTCCACTAGCCAGTTGTTAGGAGTACTACCATCGTTGTTAGGAGTACTACCATTTACTGTACTACTGTGTTTAAACTATTTCATGTAAGAGTATACATGTAGGACAAGTTTTGATCTGAACAGACGAGAGAAACGTTAAAATATCCCCCTTCCTTGAAATGCACATTTTTTGTTTCTACACTATTAGATAATACCAGTCTAAGTCAAGAGGAGTTCTTTCTTTAGATAGACAGTACTTCACGAACCTTTTCAACACACCACTACAAAAAAACAATAAAACAGTTTTATATTTTTTTACAAAGGTTAGTTTTTTTATTTTTTTCAATAGAGAGCTTTAAGTTGTAAAACTTTACTTAAAAACATTTGCTTAGTAAAATAACAGTATCAAAAATATTTTTCAATTAAATTTAATGATATAAGCTAAAATTAATAACACAGTTTTGTACAAAGTAGAAAAATTAAAAAATGTAATAACTAATTTAGGGGATTTCCTTCTACTACCGGTAAGAAAGCCTAAATACTTGAAATAAAATATTTATGACAAAACAACCTGATTTTATATAAATGAAATTTTAAAACTGATAAACTAAGAATTAAAGGAAAACTTACCAGCAGACATGTATTGTTCAAACTTGTATCCCCAAAATGACATAACTTTGTCTCTTTTGGTAGCAGTTTCTCTTCTTTGAATACTTTGCTCAGTATCAAAAGCACATAAATAAATAACAGATTTATATTTTGTAGCACATATTAGCCAGTCATCTTTGTTTTCATATATGGTATTGCATACTGCAGTTAAAAGGCCACGAAAACAAACAAAATCAATATTTAACCTATGAGTAAATAAAAATATTTTTTAAGAAAAATTATTATAAGTCATAAACAATCACAGTCAAAACTTGATAACAAAAACTTGAAGACACTAAATTGTATAATTGTATAATGTCATTAAAAATTAGGGATATCAAAAATTGAATATTTATTAACGATTTAGATAAAATAGTCCCGACATTGTTAAAGTTGTATAATGTGTATTTTCTTTAAAAAGAAAAAACAATTGTGTAGATTAATGTCAACATATTTGCTTTCTCTTTAATTTTCTTAAATTCTTCCGTATTGTCATCTGCCTTTTCGCATGATACTTCTGCTGTTATTCGAGTTTAATATTTTCGAGTCTTTCCTTATTATACATTTTTGTCTATGGTAACAACTTATTCATAAATATTAATTTTTTCGGATTTATTAAATTAGAAATTTCATGTCTCTTTTATAAACAGATAAATTTATCTAAGCAAAGCATCTTGCTTATATCTACATAAGAAATTGATGATTCAAGCAACTTCTTTTAAAAACATAGCAATCTTGGATTATAAGAAATAATTCATAAAATTATTTAAGAAAAGGTTCTAAAAATTGAAATTCAAGTTGGCACTTAATTTTTTAGAAATCATGAAAATATTGTTGTAATGATCAAAAATATTTCATGAAATTGATATATTAGGTTAGAAGGTTTTTTTTTTAATGAAAATTTATAACAAACACGCGGAGATTATAATTTTCCTTGTGATATCGAAAAATATTCGCTATTATAGTGCAGAATGTTAGAGCCAACTGTATATTTACTGCAATTAACACAATAACTGTTTTTTTAGAGGCACAATAGCCATGAATAATTTGGATATTTATGCTCTTTTACCAATAATATTGAGAAATCAAATAAAATAATGGCCAAGGAGTTTATTACTAATCACTTGGCAATGATTACATTTGTTTTTATTAAAATAAAATGAATAATAAGAAAATTGCTCAGTTTTAATTATGAATTAATAAAACTTAAATTTATTCAGCGGTAGACTACTTCAATTTATTTTTTCAAACTAACTTATGAAGTAAAAACAACTTAAAAATTTATTGGCTTATCTCCTTTCATAATTTGCCAGATTTCTGAAAAATACAATTCTGAACAATTTGAAAAAACAAATTGCACTTTTTCTCCGAAAGTAAGTTTCAAAACTAGGTGCAAATTTTGTCAATAAATGGTGCTGCCAATCAAGAAAAGCTATAAGACAATATTTTCAAAATAAAAGATCATTCGCTTAAATGATGCTGATTAAGAACAAAAATGATTAATGCTCTTGCAAATACTGTTTGTTGGTATGTTTTGTGCACAGCAGGAAACAGTGTTATATAGTTGTTTTAAATCAAGCAATTATCGACAAACTTGTCAACAAACAACTTGTTTCCTAAACAAAATGTGGTAAGGGACATTTGGGATGCCCAGTATGTTATATTAATTTGTACCAAAATGGTGCTAGACTGCCAATGGCATATAATAACAATAAATACAAAGAAAACGTCCCATTATCAAGAAAACTTGCAGCCACTACCAGACAAGCCACTATACTATTATATTTTTTAAAATATATTCCGCATACTAGAATTGGACAATTTTTACTTGGCATGACCAATATGGAAATATCTCTCAAAATTTGAAAATCATTTTAGATGACATAACTTAAAATAAAGAAATCTTACAGTAAAATATTATGAAAAACACTTTAAAGTTATGGAATTTCTAAAAATTTGTAGCACATACAAAAAATTGTAACTTTAGATGATAACAATTACAATAATTTTAAAAATTTTGAATTTTAAATTGTATTAAAATCCTTTTTAAATTGTATTTATTATGAAGAATTATTCATAATAAAAGTTCGAAATAGTTCCATATCAGTACTTGTTCAAGCCAACTATAATCGCCAAGGCAGTATAAAGAATTTAAACTTAAAAAAAAAAAATTGTAACAAAAATTTAAAGGTTTTCCCGGAGGTTACTGTGAGTTCTCTTCTTTATACTTTAAATTATTCCTCTATATGATGCACTTTTTTTTGTTTGTTTGTTTCTCGCGGGCCACTGCCTGAAGCTGTTAGTTATTTTGGTGCTTTCATGATATGGAAATATCTCTTAAAATAGTTATTTCAATATTACAAAGTAGCCGAAGCCTTTCCCACCCACATTCCTGGGATAACATTCAATATTAACTACTCACTCATTAGAGCTCTGATGTTTAAAACATCTTTGCACTTGATCCTGATGATGTAAAATCCAAGTCAAAAATGAATCTAATCTCTCCTTCTTACCAAACTCTTTTCTTATAGCTACATCATAGCCTTCATTCAAGTCCATATCTAAATAATCAAAATTGTTCGGCATACATATGTACTTTAATTGATGATTATCATCATGATACCTCCTTTCACCATCCAAAGAAAAGCAACCAATTTCTGAAGGTTCTCGGAAATTTGGAAATCTTCCATTGTAAGCGTTAGGATGGCGAACGTCAAAACTCATTGCAGAAAATATCACCCAGAAAATAATTAAGATTTAATATTTGATTCTCAATTGGAATCCGCAAATTAAAAAATAATAGTGAAACTAGAAATGAATTATTAAGTCTGCCAGTAATTTGACTATGTATAGGAGAACGGAAAACTGTTGCTGTTAATAAGATGTAAATTGTTTTTCTGAGTTACAAGTTTTCTCGTTATCATAATTTAAATAAATAAATAAGCATTGTCTAGAAACTGAAAAATGAAGATCCATTCCAGCAATAACGGATAACTAACTATTTTCCAAGAAAAAAGTAAATTATTAAAATATAAACATTTTAACACGCTTTAGGGGATCCCCCTCTATATGAAGTTACGTTTGTTGATCAACAATTTACCGGAACTTCATTTAAGCACGATTCTACTTCCGACTGTTTATTTTTACAATTCAAATATGGCTTATAAAGTTTCCATAAATTTTTTTTTTCAATTTTAACATTTGTCATGAAATAAAAAGTTCATGCTGAGAAGTTTTTAAATTTTTATTTAAATTTTAATTTTGAAGATAGTTTAAAACAAAATTAAATCACGTGTAGAGTTATTTTTATCATATTAACTCTAACCATGAGAAATCGGTTGTTTTGGAAGAATTCTGTTTGTTTTGTTTTCTGAAATCTTATCGTGAATACCGGATTGTGCTGTTAGTTTCACTTAGTTTTATTTTAATATAAATTCAAGATCATTTTCATTCAGTTTGGAATATATTTTTAAAAATCTTTAATTGACGTTGATTATTTTAAAAAAAAAAAAGCAGTCTCTTATTTCTTTTTATAGAACAAATATGCTAAGTAAATATATTTTCTTAAATTTAAAATGTTTATAGTCCGATACCTAATATTTCCTGATAATACTTTTTTAATTTCTGTGTAAATTCAATTTTAAGCATCTTACATTTCTGGATATAATTTTGTTGTTGCAAACAACTTGGCTGTATTGAGGATATATTTGCATATCATAGCATTTTAAAATCTCTTGAAATGATCAATCTCTAGATGTGCACGTCTTTACTGGAACTAAATAATAAGTGTTTGAATGAATCATAATTGTTTGCATTTGAATCTAATCCTTAGCAATAACTACCAGTTTTTAATAGTTATGTTACTAAATATTAAGCAGTATGATGCAATGATATATTTGATGGTGTAATTTTGACCTCCTATATATTCATGTAGTATTGTATATTCCTATGTATTTCTTCCTATCATTGTATAATCCTAAGTACTCTTTAAGATTACTTTGAGCTATTAATTGAATTGAGTTAATTGTTGGAGATAAATAAACTTGATAGAATTTAAAGTATTACTACATTTTGGGTCATGCATTTTCTACTTACAAGATAAAATATATTTCAATTATTCAGACAATATAAGGATATATACCTATCTATACGTATTTGTGCTTACTATCATTGCTTTATGTACAAAATGGTTCTATCCTATTTATACGTATTTGTGCCTACAATCATTGGTTTATCTACCAAAAGGTATGTCTCAAATGGTTTATGTACTTGCGAAAATAAAAAAAATATGTATACGGCTTTGCAGGGGGCAGCTAAGAGATATACCATTTAAGTTAGTCTCCTTTGGTGTTTTCCTTTTAGGTTTTCGCATGCCTTAGTCCGGTAGTCTTAAAAGCAACTTGGCAACTTCTTCAGATGCTGTATGGAGATTTTCCTAACAATGTGAATTTTCAAGATGTTGATACAAAGTGAAAATAAAATTAAACTGAAAACCCATGCTTATTATTCTAATTGCTTTTGCAATTAATTATTAGCAATTCTCTAATGGATAAAATATTTTTAAATTTAGAATATAAAATTAAAAACTGTTTGGCAATTATTCTGGATCATTTAAATTTAACTAAGAAAAAATAAATTCTATATTCATTTTGAAATATTATATCAAATATATTAAAGTATTACTCTAAATATAGACAGGTCACTAAAGACTGAAAAGGGTCCTATCTTCTAAAAAAAGAGTTTTCTTCAGCTCACTTAAAAGATTTATACTATGCAAAATTCTTTTTTTTTTTTGTTACAAAATCAGTTAAACATTACCACAATAAATTTGTTTACTCTATAAATGGATCTAAAATTACTAAAATCCTCACATTTTTAAAAATTTTCTGCATTCTTCAAATTTTTAATTTTGTCTATTGTTTCATTTTATAAAAAGAAATTCAAAATTTTCAAAATCATTTGAAATCTATAAGTGCAAAAAAGCCTTTTCTAACAAATTCACTTATAATTAATTGTAAAATTTTTGCAAACAGAGCACACCAAAAAGCGATTATTCAAATGCATGATTAGAAATATTGAGTTCTTGAAAATACTTAGATGAAAATAGCAAAGAATCTATAGCATTAATAACTGCTGAAAAACAGTTGTAAAATCATGTAGCCAGGATCGAGAACATTTCCTTTTGGGGTACGCAGCGAGAAACCAAATGGGGGGCTGCATGCAACTTTAACTCCTACTGTGCTTTGAATGAGCCCTAAGTAGTTTTAGGTTTGTCAAGAGTAAGTTAATTCAAATTTTATTATTTGTTTATATTAAATATAAAATAAAATGGCCAGCAAGTAAAAAAATATTAACAAAAAAGAGTTGAATTTACTTTTGCCCCTACGGCAGAAATTTTTCTGTCTTTCTGCAACATCTTCTCTCTAGTACTAATACCTTTCTGAAAGGCATTTTTAATAGTAGCAAATATATATGTTACTAACTTAAAGTAACAGAGGCACTTTCTGTTTACAAAAAAAGAAGAGAAGCTTCGTGTATAAAATGGAACAGTATATATATTTTTTAATTATAAATGCGAGAATTTTTTTTAAATTTACGTATAAAAGAATACTTCTATCCAGAGCCGGATCATACCTTTCGTAGGCCCTAGGCATAGCCGTTTTTGGGCCCTCCCTCCCTTCCCCCACTCCTCCCCTCTTTTCAAAATATATGCCAAAATTTTCTTGCATATTTTTTTTTTACATTTTTATTAATATGGATTTTAATTTACACAATAATTTATTACCGAAAAATATGATATTTTCAGGGAAGACATTTACGCGCTATAGCGCGTAAAATACGCAAAAAATTGAAATCGGACGCAAAAAAATGATCGCTACGCGTCCCGCGGGACGCGTAAATTTTTGAAGAAAGTTTATAAATTTCCCGACTTTTTAATCTTTGATATCGAAACATTTTAATAAAATCGAAAAATTGGGACGCAAAAAATAAATCGGTATGCATCCTCGGTATAAAAAAAAAAAAANTTTTTCTCTTTTCTTTTTCTGTTCACTGATATGCATGCAATGCATTTTCCCCACCCCCCTCGTAAATCAAGCAGAAAACGAAATCAGCATGCCACACCCTTGAGTTTGATTGACGGCCTAAAGGAAAAAATAAAACATTCCTCCCTTCCCTGCCTTCAAGGTCACAGAGGAAATGACGTTTCTCTGGGTAAACGGGGAAAAAAATTTTCCCCTTCCTTACATTTTCCTCTACTCAACTTCAAGGATGAGTCCAAATTCCGCTTTTTTCGTTCTAGTTTAAAATGGTGGGAAAATCGAGCAAAATTTTTCCCGGTTTTCTGGTTTCCCGGTTATCTGGATACAGGATAAATGGTTCTCTACTGTATTTGTTTAAAAATTTATGTAAAGGACCCATTTTTTTTCAAAAGGACCCAGTTTTTTAAAAGTCATGGGTCCCAGGGACCCGGGATTTTGAAAGCCTAGTGTCTTCCCTGTATTTTTATTTGTATCTTCATAATTTTGTGCAAAATACACTTGTTGTTTAAAGCTAAATTATTTTTGTCAAAAAAATTTTTTCTCCCAAGTTTTTCTTAGGCCCTAGGCACGTGCCAAGTGTTTCTATAGGTTAATCCGGCCCTGCTTCTAACATATATTCTCCTGTTCTAAAAAAAAAATATTTGTATAATAAGCTTTTTAAATTTTTGCAATTTGAAAATTACATTTTATAATACCAATCTGAAATTCTAACTAAAGCCAGTCATTGAGGAATTTTTTTATTCTCAAAGAAAAGTTTTAAAGAAAATATCACGGATGCTTCTTCCTACTCCGATATGCAAGAAAGGAATTTTTTGAAAATAATTCTGCAGAAAAGAAAAGAAAAACATTTCAAAAAATTCTGCAGTTAAGAATTAACCAAACTTTTTTGCTTCCCAAATAAAAAATATTTCAGCAAGAACTCGGATAAGTTCTGCGACAATGTCGCCGTGTTACCACGATTGTGCTATGGGGTCCCCAGCTAACCAAATAATAATAATAATGAACTTTGTGTGTCTTGATAATATGAAAAAACTCCTTCAAAAACTAATTTTAATTATTGAAAACTTTTTTTTTTCCGGCAGGTATATTTTGAGATGAAATGTGAAGGCTTTCTTTGAATGTTATTAATGAAGATAAGTTTACTCAAGCAGATCCTTCATATAAGGCAGTTCTTATCTGTCAGTATTAGATACACAGCTATTAACCTGAAACTATCTACAGCAGTGAAAAGACCAGATTCAAAACTGAATACCATGAAGCTTGACTCTCCTCAGTTCCATGCAATATTCACCCCCGAAGTGAATGGCTTATCAGAATTGTTTCAAAAATATGGTTATGGACTTCGAATGGCAGGAGGAGCTGTTAGAGACCTCTTGATGCACAAACATCCTGAAGATCTTGATTTTGCTACTACTGCAACACCCGAGGAAATGAAAAAAATGTTTGGAGCAGAAGGTATAAAAAATTTTATTGCTGGACAGTAAAACCTATGTAAGTTGCCCACTTTCGGTGTATTTTATGATGGTCAACTTATATCGAGATGAGTTATAGTGTTTTTATTCTTATTTTTATATACAGTAGGGAACCGATTATCCGGAACGATCGGGACCATCGCTATTCCGGATAACTGATTTTTCCGGTTTTCTGAATCGCTATAAAAAGCCGTTTTTTTATGTTAAACCCAACTAAAAAAAAAAAATTTTTTTGGAAATAATCTTAAAAAGAAGAAAAAACGATGGAGTAATACACTAATGATTATTTCCAAAATGATGGTAAGGTAAACATCTTTCAAATAAGAACGAAAAATCTTATAATCTTATGAGGAAAAATTTTTTTTTTTTTAAAAATGGCGGGGGAAATTTATTGAATTTCGTTCCGGTTTTCTGATTTCCGGATAACGGGTTCTGTACTGTATATCATTTAAATTTCATTCAAATTCATTTTACTAATTAAAAAATAAAGAAACAATGTAATGCAGGCATCTCAGAATAGGATTTAAGTTAACTTACATACTGTTTCACCAAATTAGTTGAATTCTAATGCCTAGCATAATAATATAGAAAATGTCAAAAAGGTTGTTTTTTTTAAAGGACATTTTCTATTTCATCGGTCAACTTACAAAACAAGTGATCAGGTTATAAAGGTTCAGATCTTTTTTATTATAAAGAATTAGTTTGGTTCTTGATAATAGAGATCAACTTCAAAGAGTGTTCAGCTTGTCAAGTTTCACTGTAAATGCAAAGGTAGTTAGGCGTAATGCATCCATAACTGGTGTTTCATATTCATTTTGCATTTATGTTTCTAGCCATTATTTAATTAATAAAACTATTTGTGTGATTTTTTACTTTCAAAATATTGTTAATTGAATTGTCCAATATTTTTATTAGAATAAATTGATAAAAATAGAGTAAAAGTAAATGAGTATGTATTGGTCGATGCCCACATTTATAATTTTAAGCATACTTTTTAAAGCAAGTTAATCCATTGTTCATTTGAATATTTGAATAATTTTACTTATGTGGCCTATTTTATGGGTTTTACTTTCTTAATTTTCATTTTATGTGCTGTTGTTTTTATGGGAAAAACAAGCATCTGCAGGGGTCTGTCCAGGCAAACTTTACTACCGTTTAGCAGTACCTTCGCAAATTCAACTTTAGGAAAAAAATACTTTTTCTTATAATTTTATTTTTGTATCCCATAAGAAACAATAAATCCATATTTTTGTGTTGATTTTTTAANGGACGGTTTTTACCGGTATTTACCATGGTTTTTTCCACCTGTGGCAAAATCTTGCCAACCCTGGTCAGCTTATATGGGGATGAGTTATAGTGTTTTTCTTCTTATTTTTATGTATATCATTTAAATTTCATTCAAATTCTTTTTACTAATTAAAAAAAAAAGGAAACAATATAATGCAGGCATCGCAGAATAGGATTTAAGTTAACTTTAATACTGTTTCACCAAATTAGTTGAATTCTAATGCCTAACATAATAATGTAGAAAATGTCAAAAAGAATTATTTTTTTTAAAGGACATTTTCTATTTCAGCGGTCAACTTACAAAACAAGTGATCAGGTTATAGAGGTTCAGCTCTTTTTTATTATAAAGAATTAATTTGGTTCTTGATAATAGAGATCAACTTCAAAGAGTGTTCAGCTTGTCAAATTTCACTGCAAATGCGAAGGTAGTTAGGCGTAATGCATCCATAACTGGTGTTTCATATTGATTTTGCATTAATGTTTCTAGCCATTATTTAATTAATAAAACTATTCGTGTGATTTTTTACTTTCAAAATATTGTTAATTAAATTGTCCAATATTTTTATTAGAATAAATTGATAAAAATAGAGTAAAAGTAAATGAGTATGTATTGGTCGGTGCCCACATTTATAATTTTAAGCATACTTTTAATAACAAGTTAATCCATTGTTCATTTGAATATTTGAATAATTTTACTTATGTGGCCTAATTTATGGGTTTTACTTTCTAAATGTTATTAATTCATTTTATGTGTTCTTTGTTTTGTTGTTTTATGGGAAAAACAAGCATCTGCAGAGGTCTGTCCAGGCCAAATTTACCTACCGTTTAGCAGTATCTTCGCAAATTCAATTTTAGGAAAAACGGTAGTTTCACAAAATACTTTTTCTTAAAATTTTATTTTTTATCCCATAAGAAACAATAAATCCATACTTTTGTGTTAATTTTTTAATATAATTTTTAATTTTAACAAATTATGTTTAAATTTTCACAAAATAGGTACCTCTCAGAGAAACCTAGACAGACCCCTGATCTGAGTATTTGACTTTTAAATTTTTACATTTTAATTACATGTTTACTTCTTTTTCATATTACAAACCGGGTTTTCATTATTGAAATGCCTAAATTTTTTTGAAGATTGGAATGAGTGTATGGGTGATACACCTAAATTTAATTTTAAATTAAATGTATGTAATTAATGTAAATTGTTCAATTTTTACTTTTTATTTGTTGTATTTTATTTCTAAAAATATTGGTAGAATTTTAAAAAGATTGAATACTGATTGAAATTTGATTTGCTTTAGGTATTCGAATGCTTCATCGCAAAGGGGAAGCTCATGGTACAGTTACTATACGCTTGAATGATAAACAAAATTTTGAAATAACTACTCTCCGAATCGACACCAGTACTGATGGCAGGCATGCTGAAGTAAAATTCACCACTGATTGGGAATTAGATGCAGGACGAAGAGACCTTACTATAAATGCTATGTTTTTAGGTATGATATTATTTATTCTTGAATTATAATATTTATGAGGCTTTTAATGTGTGTACTAGTAAAATTCACCAGGTACTGAAAGTTTAATTCAAAGTGAAAAATTAAATAATCTTAGTACATATTTAACTACAATGCTAAAAAAATCAAATAAAAATTTTTTTTAATTTAAATCTTTTTTTTTAAACTTTTTTTTTTTAAATTTTTGAATGGATATCTAGCATTGAATGTTTTAAGGTTCGTAAACTTAATAAGATTATTTTTAAAAAAATGTAACTTATGCGTGTTTTAGTTTATGTAGTTAATAATAGACACATGTGAAACAGAACTTGTTAAAGGGTTATTTTTTCTTTATATTCTCTCTGTATCTAATTAGTAAAAGATTATATAAACTTCACACAAGAAATTTTAAATATGAGGAATTAATGTAATGCTGAAAAAATTTTTTACTGAATTCAGGTATTCATAACTTTTACAACAAAAATTTTTTTGTGTACTCCCAAGCACATATAAGCTGTTTATATTGACTTTCATTTGTCTGTTAGTTTTTAGTACATGTGATAGGGTTTGTATAAATTTTTTTTTTAATTACAGTTAAAAGCTCTGAATTTTAAATCGGATACTAAGTCTTAAAGGTTAACACTGATAAAAACATGCATTGATGAATAAAAAGATAATAATAAATAAATAGTAATTAACTTCAATTTGTATCCAGTAACATTTTGTTATTACTCAAAAGACATTTAAGTAACTAAAGATTAGTAAGTATCATAAACTGAATGTCACTAGTAATATATGTATATGAAATTAAAATGTTAGCCGTTGATAAATTAAACTTCCTCTTTGAAATATAAAAATGTGTCTTCTATTTTTTTTTTTAATTTCGTTTTTTATTTAATTTTTTAACATAAACCACTGGGGGCTTAGCAAATGGGCTAAATTGGGAGAATGTTTCTCCTCAATGCACTATTCCCCCATTCTAAGCTATCCTAAACATAACAGGATAATAAAAAAATAGATATATTTTTTTTCTTCAAGTTTAAGAATTTTTGAACAGATCTTCAATTTTTAATAAAATCTTTTTCTTTCCTTCTTTCTTTCTTTTTTTATTATTTTTATTTGTTATTTATTTTTGTAAAGAANTATCCTAAACATAACATGATAATAAAAAAAAAGATATATATATATTTTTTTTTCAAGTTTCAAATTTTTGAACGGATCTTCAATTTTAAATAAAAAAAAATTTCTTTCCTTCTTCCTTTTTTTTTATTATTTTTATTTAGTTATTTATTTTTGTAAAGAAAAAGAAATTTAGTCATTGAAAAAATTTCATTTTTAGTTTTACTGCTGAAAATCATTTTAAAAGTCTGACAAATTATGTTTATGATTTTTTTTTTTCACTTAAATGATTTATATCAATTTTTTTCTTAATAATAATCTGATTTAAATTGCTGTTCGCCATCTTATATATAGTCAATTTTCATACATGATCTATCTTGCTATTTTTATCTATTACTATTGTGATTCAGCGTTATTTAATTTTTAATTCTAACCAAAATTGTGTTTTGTTCATTATCTTTTTTTTTTTATTAAATTCTTACCAAATTAGGAGGTGAGTTTAAAACAAAGAAATATTATTTTGATACAAATGTATTATATTTGTTATTTTATTATTTGATATAAGAATATAAGTTACAGTGTAGTTGTTAACTGGATTAAACCACAGTTGTTTGATTAAGAAATCTTAATATGAATGTTAGGTTTTTAGATCTTATTTGTATGATAGTAAATAAATAAATTTTTTTCTTCTATTATTTAAGTTCCAACTTTAGAATTTAGCTAATATATAATATAAATATGTTTTTACAAATGATTCAGTACTGTTTATTTGACTGTTTTAGGTAGGTGCTTTTAGTTTGTAAAGTTGTTTTTTTTTTATATGAAATAAATAAATGACTGTTAATTAAAAGTAGCTGCTTAAGTGTCAGAAATTATCAGTCATTTTTATTTTTGTGTTATATTACATGTAGTTTATTTTATTTGCTTATAGGCTTAGACGGTACCATATACGATTATTTTAATGGTAAAAAGGATTTAGAAGATAAATGTATTCGTTTTGTCGGGGATCCAAATGGAAGAATTCAGGAAGATTATTTGAGAATTCTTAGATACTTTAGGCAAGTTGCTTTGTCTTAATGCTTCAATATTTAGATTTTTTTTTTCAGTATTTAATAAATTGCACTATTATAGACCAATATAAAAATGTTTTTTTTTTTGTTTTTTTTAATATCCTTTTTATTTAAAAAAAATATTATTGAAATTAACAGCATTGAATCAAGAGTATTGTAATAAAGCAATTAAAATATGCATACTGTTTATTATAAAATTTTATTATAAATGTTTATTATAAAATTTTTGCATTAGCAAAGAATAATATTCATTTTCTTCAAAGAAGAAGCATTCATATCAAAGAAGAGGCAATGCTGAAAAATACCTCCAACAATAAATGTAACAATTTTTAAATAGCTAAATTGTTAAAGGGTCATTTTAAGAAATTTAAATAACTTGAGCTGAACCTTCAATTTTGTGTTTATTGACTTGTATTAAACTGTATTAAGAGTTTAATTTATTGTAAGTGTGCAATATTTTATAGTAAAAATGATTGTATAATTGTAATAATTATTAAGTATAATTATTGCAATTTCTTTCCATTATTGATTATTTACATATCTGATGCCAAGTTGCTTGTTGAAGGTTTTTTATGGTCAGTTCTAAATGTTTTCTTTGGCACTATGTCAATGGATAAAATTCTGTGTCTCCCAAAAATGGTGATTAATAGAGGTGCCTTGTCTGGGCAATTTTATTATGATATGTATTTGGCAATTATTATTTGAGTAATAGGTATTACTGCATTATCATAAAATATGATAATCTTAATGTATGACAATTTTTATTTGGATGTTACATTTCAACACATGTTTTCTATATTTTCTTTAACGATTATTTTTGTAATAAACTATTTATCTTAATTCTTTTTAAAATTTAATGAGACGTTTTTACATAAAAAATCTGCAGCTGGTTTTTACCATAAAAAAAATTAAAGTGTTTAAGATAATACTAACATAAAAATCATATAAATAACTATCCTCTATTCAGTTATGTACATAGACTCTATTAAGCTATAGTTTTAAAAATAGGTTTTTAATAAAAAGAAAAAAAAGGATTGTATGAACAAACATGGAAAATATATTTAATTCTAAGTTGAAAAAATCATATTTAATACACTCCAAAACTGCTTCTTAATACATAATCGTTTCCCATTTAGATTCTACATATTTTATTGTAAGTAAAAGCTGAATATCAAAAATAACAAATAATAGAGTGCTAATAAATGTTTTTATAATAAAATGCTTGATGTATTTTTTTTATTTCAATTTATTTTAGATTTTATGGAAGAATTGCTAGTCAACCAGATTGCCATGATATTCAAATATTAGAAGCAATTAGAAGTAATGCTGAAGGCCTAGGAAGTATGTTAATTCTGAAGCTTTTTATTATTATTATTACAAGTAGTATTATACCATAATATAAATTGTCTGCATTGTATAAAAAAATCTATATTTATTTATTGAGTATATTAAATCTTTAGCTCTTGTTCTAATAACCATAGTATATTTGTATAAATATCTATGTTTATTTAATAAGTATATTAAATTTTCAGCTCATATTCTAATGAAACCATAATGTATTTGTCTGCATTGTGTAAATATCTATGTTTATTTAATGAGTATGTTAAATTTTCAACTCATATTCTAATGATGCCTTTATATATTTATCAGCATTGTATAAATTTTTAAGTTTATTTAATAAGAGTATTAAATCTTCAGCTCTTATACTAATGAGGCCGTAATATATTTGTCTGCATTGTATAAATATCTATCTTGACTTAGTAAGTATATTGAATCTTTAGCTCATATTCTAATGAAATCATAATATATTCAATAAATAAAAAGTCACCTAGTCTGTTTTGTATGGATATCTACAATAGGCTTCTACACCCTAGGAAAATTTCAGGCTTAAACATAATACCAACATAAATATCCTCTTATAAATAACTATAATATAGAATCTATTCAGTAATAGATTTAAAAATGGGTATTTAATAAAATAAAATAAAAAGTGTATGAAGCCATAATATTCTTGTCTGCATTTTATAAATATATTTGCTTATTTAATATGTTTATTAAATCATCAGCTCATGTTCTAATGAAACCATAGTATATTTGTCTGAATTGTATAAATATCTATCTTAATTTAATAAGTATATTAAATCTTTAGTTTAATAATTATTAATTTAAAGATTCAATATTGGATAAAGATTGATATAATTTATCTTTAATCTTTATTAAATAAGTATTCTTCTTTTGAAGCTAAAATAAATTATATGCAAATTTATCTTTATTTAGAAATATCGGGTGAAAGAATATGGATGGAGTTAAAGAAAATTCTAAGTGGAAATTATGCCAAAGAAATTATGCTTCGAATGATTGATCTTGGAATCGCTCCTTTTATTGGTAAGGTTATTAACCTCCATTTAAAAACACTGCTTTTTATTTTGTAATTAATTGTTTTTGTTTCACTAAATTAGGGTTTGAACCAAGTTGTCAGTTACTTCAGATTTTTAGTATTGTTTGTGGATTTTATTCTTGCTGTATGATTATGTAAAATTCCGAAAATAAATAAATATCTTTTTATTTGCAGGTGTAGTTTATGAATTTGTGCATGATTGTTCATTTTAAATAATTTATGCATAAATTATAAATAAATCTTTGTTTTATTTTTCATTTGTGAAGGACATCATTTATTTCTTTAGAAATGGAATTCTTGGTAATCTTTCCAAACTTCATACATTGCTTAAGAGATAAAAGCTGTTCCCAAATTTAGTAGTCTATATTGTCAAAAACTGTCATGAAAATGCTATGAGATTTTTTAGGTCAATTATAAATTATTGCTCTTTCTAGTTTATAATTTAAACTGCGTTAGATTTCCTCGTTTTTCACTTACTAATATTTTTTTTCCAAATGAATTTTAATTGATTGATTGTAAGAAATTTTTAATTCATCTCGTTTTAAATCTGACTTAGAATCGTAAATGTTATCAAATTATAATATTAAATACACATTTATTAGTTAGTTCACTCTATTTTTTAAAGTTTCTTGTTTTGCCTAGTGTTGCAAAATGCTTTGCATAATATAAGTTAAATTAACTATTAATAAACTGTTGCTTAATTAAAGTTTTTATACTGTGTAGTTTTATGACTGTAATATAAAGTTTTAAATGGCTAAAAATTTTAGTCATATAAAAACCCATGCACATTCTGTTTGTTAATAATATTGCTAATCTGTCAATGACAAATAGAAGTAGCCTATATTTAAATAAATAGCAAAAGGAGTGTAACAAAGCTTTGATAGAAGTATTGCAACGGGGCCCATAAAGGCATTATTTGTAAATTATGAAATAATCTCATACTTTTTTAATTTTTTGTCGGAATGTAAGGATTTATGTTTTTTTATTTATTGTAATATTTGTATCATATCTCTTTTAATTAAAACTTATAATTGATAGTTTTTTTAAGTACTGCATTCTGAAAACATTAAATCTCTGAAAAAGAAATAAAAATTGTTTTAAAACAGTTTCATCAAGAATTTTTCAATCTGACAATGAGTCTGTTTCAAATTTGTTTTCATACTAACTTAGAGTAATTTAATTACAGTTTCATTATTCGATTGAACCTTTCTAAAAAATAAATTTTTGATATTCTTTGAAAGAAGAAAAAACATAAATAAAAATTTTATGAGGAGAAAATAAATCCATTTTGTTATAGCATCATTGAATTTTTCTCAGAAAAAAGTTTAAAACATTGGTCAAGTTTTTAATCTAACAATTATCATTATTAATTTTGTATTGTGAGTTTATTTAGAATTATCAATTTAAATTTCTTGCTTTTTTAATATACAAATCAAGTCACAATAATTACCATTGATAAATCAGTTTTGCTAACTGTGAATGTGTTTCTTTAATAATAATATTTTACTTATAAAAGAAATTGTTCTTAAAATTATTAATGTAAATTATGAAATTTGCTATTGTATTTGTTAAATGAAGGATTCTCTAAATCTGGGGTGCCTTTATGACCTTTTCCTTTTTTTTTTTTTTCTTTTCAATTTTCTTCTTTATTGCTTACATCAAGAATTTAGCTTGTCACAGTGTAGCATTCTGTATAGCCCATGTGTCACTGACTGTGCACTCAATCCAATCAGATTTTAATAAATTTTTACTCAGCTATAATTCAATATTAAGTTATTAATATTTTGTAACGTCACAGTAATTAATGTTTGGGGTTGAAAAGAGTGCGTAGCATTTTTAAAAAGTGCTTTAAGGTGCTTAATTTTCTATCTTTTAAACAGGGATTCTTTATTTGCCCTGCCAATTGTTGTTCTAAATTACAAAAAATGCAGCATTTTCAAAATTTTCTCTGCAATATTTATCAGAAACTAGTTATTTTATCATGATTATGCAAAGGTTTTGAAATAATTTTTGAATGTTATTGATTTTATGTTTATAAATTAAGAACTTTAAACGATAGTAAAAAATAATTTTTATTACTGCTCAGATCCTAATTATGAATTATTATTTTTATTTTTTTGAAAGTGATTAAAAGGTGCTTATTTTTTGTTGAAAAATCTGGCTATACACCCTGTTAAAGAATATTTAATAAAGGCATTATTTTGTTTCTCTTTTAAGGTTTGCCTGAGAATCCAAACATAAATGAATATAAAGAAGTGTGTGAGAGGAGTTACTCAATGAAGCCACATCCAGTTACTAGACTGACAGCTCTCTTAACTACGGAAGATGAGGTGAGTATTATAAAGCATTCAATATAGTTATATGGATTGGGAAGTTTTTGCTGCATGTGGGGGGGAAATTAAACAGTTGTGCAATAAATTTTGAAAACAACATTAAAATAGTTATTTCATCCAATAAAAATACATGCTAATTTTTCAATTATTTAATTTAAACTAGTTTTTGTAGAGGTAAAGTAACAAAACACTTTTTCGTGACAAAAACTATTATTACTATTTACTTTAAGAGGACACACAATTAATTTTTTCATTATTTAAAACTAAATTTAGTTTAATATAAATTGTAGATACAGTGCACTCCCGATTATCCGGGTTAATCACCGGGACAGGTCGCACGGACAATCGAAAAACCAGGATAATCCGAAAAATCCTTTTATTCAATATCAGTACAAAAAATATAAAAATTACTGACATTTGCATACATAACATCAAATTAAGAATTTTCCTTATTAAAAAATGTGTAATGCGTCTTCGCCATATATCGATACACAAATTTTACGAACCGCAGTAATGTCACTGTAATCAAATCCTCCCATATAATCTAATAAAGTTTCCACAGAGCAGCAGAATGAGAAATTGTATTTCATTCATTTACTACAACTTCTGCATCAGTTACTATCATTACTATTTGATTTAACAACATAACGATGTTTTCTTCATCAAGAATTTTCATAACGATGCAGTCAAATACTGGAAGCCAGGCTCACATGCATCACTTTGAAACCAATCTTCTAAATTTTCTTCATCAAGAATTTCGAAACCTTAGATTTCTTTTGGCTTGTTTGAGAATACTGTTATATATTTCTTGAACATCTGAAGAGGATTGTTCATCAAGCGGTATGATCTTTCTTCAAGATCAAGATAATGTAGACGATTTTACCTTTGACCATGCTGCTAATATTCCATATACTGCAATCCAATTACGAATATTGCTTCCAAAAACTTTGTAGTGTTATAACTTCATGAATCAAATTTTTTTAATCTTGAAAATGTTTCTCTTTATATTTTTTGTGTGACTCCGGAATGAGCACGGATAATCCGCGCACGGATAATCGAGAGTGTACTGTACTAATATTTATGTTGCAATAGAATAATATTGCAAAATTTAAATAACTAATAATAAATATATGAATGAAAGCTCTGCATAATATATAAGTCGTGAATGTGAAATTAACAATGAATATTACTAATTCATCTTTAAATGAAAATATGTTTAAATAATATTGCTAATTATTATTCTACATCCGTTTCTTTCTCTTTTTTAGGTGCAATCCTTACACTCTCGTATAAAATTTTCGAAATACGACAGGGATTTATCTCTCTTCATCATTAATAACAAAACCCTGGTAGGAAAACCACCCTTAAGGCCCTTTATATACTTATTATTTCAGTCAAAAAGCAAAGTATCTGATACTCACGAATGGTGCTGTGAAATTCTGAAGTATCGTGGTGAATTGTGCCTATGGAAAGAACTGAGTGAGCTGAAAATTCCCAAGTTCCCTGTCAGTGGCCACATTTTAGTGGAAAAGGGATTGAAACCAGGACCAGAGATGACAAATATTATGACTAACTTGAAAAATATTTGGATTGACAGTAATTTTAAAATGACAAAAGAAGAACTTTTAGATTATTTAGATAAAAATACTCATGGAGATTGTTAGTTATATACAAATTAATAAATTATATATATTTTTATTTTTGTATTTGTTATTTTGTATTTGCCAAAAAAATTCTTGTTTTTCTATGAGAATAGTAGTTTAACTTGTTTCTGTTACAATGGGAAATTTGAGTTTTCTTGAAGGGTAGAAAAGAATATTTCTGTCGCTGCCTCCAAAGGATAACAAAACAGTGGACGCAGATTAAATATTTTCTCTATGGTAAATATACAGTGGACAAAAAATATAGTCAACTAAGTATGCAGTGGCCGTTTAAATATCATATAAGCTGCAATTCTGTCTAGACTTTGAAAGTTTCATGTCCTTAGCACCCTAGACTCCCATTATTTCCAGGTTCTTTTTTATTTAAAAGTGTGTTTCTATTTGAAATAATATAAATCTTAACGTGAAATATATACTTAAAATAAGTAAATATTTTATATAAAATGAGTAATATAAGTAAATATAAAATAAGTAATATAAGTCAATATTTTATGATTGAGTAAAAAAAAAAAAAAATTATTGTTAGATTTTTTTTCGAGTTTGGTTTATTTTTGCCTACATGAATTATAACCATTTTTTTTTTTGTTATTTTGGCAATGAAAAATGACATGTCTCAGATGCATGGTAACTGCTTTTTCTTTTTTTTGTTGACGCATTTGATGTGCTATAGTGCATAAACGGAATCACTGATAAAAACATGTTTCTGGCAATTTTTTGAAATTGTCAGCAATAATGCTGTACAATAAATTTTAACATTTTCTCTGTCCTTTCGATTAAACTATTGCGATTCTGTTTAAACAAAGGGTGCTTGATTCATATGTCAAAATCAGTATGTTCTATCAGAACCATTTTTGTTGGAGAAAAGTGGACAACTTCTAGCAAAAAATAAAATGACAGTTAGCTTGTACAAAGCGCATCAAGAATAGGAGCCCATTTTCAAGACTTGACAGGCATTGAAGTGACTGTCATTCACATCTGGAAAATAGGCATCTACTTTTGATGCGCTTTTAACATATTGCCTGTCCTTTCATTTTTGTATATTTTTGAAGCGTATGAAGTTTACAATCAAATAATATCTCACTTCAATTTCTTGGGATTATTTGTTTAAATTACGAAATGTTTTAAAAAGGAGTCCGAGCAAATTTTCTGCATTTATATGTTTGCTTTTTTAAAATAAATAAAAAAAATTAGTTAAATAATAATCAGCAGATGCTTTAATAATCTACAGAAACCACGTCATGCTGTAGGGTTTCTGCTACCGGTATTATGCGGCAATGGGTGGGGCACAGAGAAGTAACAAAATTCTACAAAACTTGAAAGTGTTAAGACATACTTTTTTTTTAAAAAAAGGAAAATAATAAAGTAGAACAGACTGATAACAAAATGGCAAAGTGAAATCCATTATAAACCCCAAGGGAAAAAAACTTAAAATTTAGAAATATCTTGTGTATCATAGCGTGACAACTTTCCAAACTAGCTATCAGTAATCAGAAAAACTCAGAAATATGGTTAGCATTTGCAGAACCCAGATCAGCAGAATTTAAAGGTGGTGTTTATACTACTTAATTCTAAATATGTATATAATATTAATAAAATTTTGCATGAATTTATTATTAAATAAACGGAAACATTGAGATAAAAGTAGTAAATTATACACATAGAAACTTCATTATTAAACTAAATTGATTACTTGGAATTTATGCTATAATTTTTTTGTAGAGATAGCTTGACCTTATTGTTATAACTCTTAGAGAGAAAGCTAGACATTCTAAGGTCTTTTAACATTCTGAATTTGAAGAACTAAAAATTTTTGCTCACACTATTTCATATTTATGTTCATGTTCTTTTGCTTTTCTAAAAAGTGAGATTTCTTTCATTTTTTGTATTTCTTGTCTTTATCAAATCGTTTCTAATTGTTGTTTTTAGAAGTATTTAAAGAGAAGGAAAAATTATCTTAGATTAGTTATAAACAATATTTTAAACTTTTGGTAGTTAGGCAGGGTTTCCGCTACGGTAGCTTTTTTCGCAAAATGCAAAAAGACCCCTCAAAAATGCTAAAATTCAACAAAGCATTTTCGCATTTTTGCTAAAGGATTTGGGGAATTCAGTTATAGCTCTGGATTGCAACTGGCAAGCTCTTGTTAGTGTTTTAATGGAAGACAAACGTCCTGTTGCTCAAGGGTTGTTAAAAAATATAACTACTTTTTTGTTTTTAGCAACCACTGCCATATCATGTTCAACATTAATAAATTAAGCTTCATATTTCAAAAATCTAATTTAAATTTTGAATATGCTCAATCAAGTGTGAAGGCTTGTATTTCAAGTTTAGAAGAAATAAAAAATGGCACCGGCACTCATTATATGAGTTTTTTAATTGATGTGCCTAAGAAGGAAAGTGAAAAATTTGAGTTTCAGGGCCATATAATTTTAGATGGACTGAAACAGAGGGAAAGATTCCGTAATTTCATGCACAATTTTTTAAACTGTATCGTTGAAAATATTACTGATAGATTGGGAGATTTGGATAAAATCGAAATGTTCAATATATTTATACCTAGCAGGATGCCCCATAGTTCGGAATTAAGTTATTCTTTGTCAGATAACTTACAGTACTTGTTTGATATAAAGTAATTTTAGAAGCCTAATGCCATTTTAGCATTTTGCTAAAACTTTTTTTCAGATTTTAGCTTTTTTGCTAATGAATTTTTAGACTCAGCTTAAACCCTGTAGTTAGGGAAAAAAAATTTCAACAGATTGTTATGGAAATTCTCACAAACAATAATATTTATGGCTAAACCATAAGACTATAAAATCTTAACTATAAAATTTGAGTAATTATGGAAAAACTGTAATAATATTCTTCTTCATAATAAAAAAAATAATGGTTAGCAACACGTATTTTAGGAAGGTCAACTATTTAAAAAACATTTAAATAGTTTATGAATAAAAAAATTGAAGTGGAGTTCAGAACTCAGTGAATTAGATGAGATTAATTTCAAATAGTTTAACTGAAATTACCTAAGAAAAAAGTCGGTGCACACGAATATGTTTTTCATGGGACAACAAATGCAGTAATCATTGATGTGACTAAAGTTACATTAACATTTGAACATTAATTAGTTTAACTTTAAATGTTGCTTGAATTGCAATAACTTACAACCTTGAGTTGCAAACTAATAACATTAGGTTGTATCTAAAAAAACGTATATTCAAAATTTCAAATTAACAGCTTTAGAAGCTGTCACTGATAATTATTAATTGCAGTTGTCTTTGTGTTCACATATATGGTAAAAAATCTTCTAAAACAGGCCTAAGGTTTCTTTTTTTTTTTTTATGTAGGAGGGAGTAAAAAAAACAAATACTTTTAAAGAATAAAAATAAACAAATTTTAGATTTCTAAGTCAACATTAAATAACAGTAAAAATGAAATTATAAATAAAATGTACTAAGTGTATTTGTTAGTGTTGCATTTCATAGATAATTCTTTTTATTGTTACTTTAAATTTTTAAACATGGAAACTAAAATTTTGTATCACTTAAGTATTAAAAAACTTTGACATTCTTTTTTGACCTGCAAGAAAATGAAACTTGGCACTCATATAAAGAAATATAAATATATTTTGCATTGACTAAAAAAAAAAATTTGGGGTGCATGATTAATCATGTAACAACTTTTTATTGACTTAAAATTTCGAATTTTTTTTTTATTTTTAGAATAAGTTTTATTACGCTTACAGATGAATTCTCTGAAAATCTTTTCTTCTGAAAGTTCTCAAATCTTTTATTCTGAAAGTTATAACCTAAAGATTTTTGATTTGAGGTTCAAGATAAATTTAACAAATGTACATCAATTTTATAAAAATCATATTCAAGAAAAAATTAATTATGACTGTAAATTTATAAACTTTTTAAGGCAGTAATGAAAACATTTTTATTAAATGTAGAAAAATTTAATAAAAAGTGAAGTTTATTCTCTTATATACATAAATTGACCCAATCCTCATAATTATCTGTAATTAAAAATAACATCTGTATATTTTTAAAGAAATTAATTTACAGTTTTCAGGCATACATCACTAATTTGAATTATTTATATGGATATGTTAGCCACCACTAAGAGGAGGAATTATGGCTAAATGATCTCCATCTTTTAAGTAGAAATTGATTGAGTTATCAATGTATTCTTCATTCAGTGCTAACATCACCGAAGCAGCTATCGATTTCAATTCATCAAAGTGGTTGACAACTTCTTCTAGTAATGAATGAGACGTATATGGCCCAGGGGGCATGGTGATTTGTTTCTCCTGCATTCCTACAATCTCTCTAGCTCTGGCAAAAAATAGCAATTTCACAGACACCATTTTCTTGCAATCAGAAACTGTTGAAGAGAAAGAAAATTCAGGGTTCCCACTCAATTTTTTTAAAAAAGAAAAAAATCTCCCCAAATTTTCAGAGATTACAACCATTTAACTTTTGAGGTAAAAAAAATTCCAGACCATATTCTCATTATACGCTGCAATAATTATCTAAAATGTATAATTTCTTTAATTCGGCAATTAAAAAAAAACTTACTGCTTGATTATAAAATAAGTCAACTATTACATTTTTAAGATGAGAACATTAGTAAGTTGAAATTTAATATGTAGATTTTATGATATATATACATTATAAACAGCAATATTTCAAGCAATAGCATTATTAAACAACATTACTTAAGCAACATTTGCTCTGTAATATTTCATGAGAAACATACTTTTTTATTGAGTACCCTCCCCCCTTAAAAAAAACTTAGTAAACTCGTTGGTAGGAAATATATCGGATTATATTTTGAAAGAAGGGAATATCACTAGGTTGAGGTTTAATATGTAAATTTTAATATACATAAATATATAAAATACAAATAAAAACAATAATTTATACAATTTAAAAACGCACAATGCATTGAGTAATGAAACACTTAACTTATTGCTAGAAGATATTGCATTTTGTAAGATGGGAATATCATTAGGTTAAGGTCTGATATATAAGTTTTATAAGACATAAATTATAAATAAAAGTAATAGTTTGCACAATAATTTATTAAATTTAAAAAGTTTCAATGCAATACAGTTTAATTAGACTCAGAAGTGATTAAAACTCAAGGTTAATTTATACAGAGTATAAGTATACAAATTTACATTCTGATTGAAAGAAATTGAACAATATTGCAATGAAATTTTTAAAAGAAATAATTGAAACAGCTGTTAAATTTCTTTACTTTAAACCATATTTTCATTTTACTGTAACCATGACTATTAAGATTGGTTATTTTCCAAGTTTCGGCTACAAGAAAGCAATATTTCCTGATTATGTGGGAACCCTGAAGATAAAATACAAGTCATTTAAAAACTACAGCAAATTAAAGTTTGGGCTCATTTTTTATTTCTTTTTTGTCTTCTTTGGGTTTTGCCGATCTTGCAAACTGTACAACTAAAGGTTTTGTATGCAGAATAAACCCATTAGTCTCTCTAACAGCCTCTTTGGCCTGAACTTCATTTGCAAGGCTTATGAAAGCTTGACCTTTCATTCTACCTTCTTTCATGAGTTTTATATCGAACATATTTCGATCATTTTCAGAAGTTCTGTCAATAAATCGGCCAAAAATATACCGTAAATCTTTCTCGTTGACTTGTTTGGCAAGATTTTTGATATATAACCGACAAGATGGCTCCCCAGGAGAATAGTTTCGGAAAATTGACAATGTTTTCATCTCTCGAGAAGACATTCTTTTCTTCTTCAATTCCTCTATCGTAATACATTTTGAATTATACCACGTCTCTTCCGTAGGCTCGCTCTCTTCATTTTCTCCTTCATTTGACTCTTTGGCTGGTTCTATTTCTCCAAATCCACCAGTAGGTTCTATAGATGTTACTGGATCCACTGGAATGATTTGCTCAATATTTTTCATATTTATTTTTTTCTGACTAAGAGGTTGCGAGTCAAACACTTCCGATGGCTCAGTGCGTTGCCGCTTAGCTGACTGATTAGGTAATGATGGCAGATTGAGTTTTGCCTTTCTCTTCTTTTTTGGTTTCTTCAAAACCTGATTTTCTGGAATTATTTTTTCTTCCTGTTTCACATATCCCTCTTCTTTCTCACTTTCATATTCAGATTCTTCTGAAGAAGTAACTTCCATATTTTCAACTGTTAAAGAATCTTCCCCACCAGGAACTTTAGACAGATCAGGTGCCAAGGGGGGAGCAGGGGTCAAGGGCCCAAAAGGGGCTGGCAGGTTCATCTTATTCATTAGATGTAAAACTTGGGTATAAAATTTAGGAACAGATGCTAATGCATGGCTTATATTCTGTATAATAGTAGGAGTTGGTGCTGGATACTTATACTTAAGCAGTGGGGAAGGTAAATAATCTAGTCCCAACGATGGAGCAACACCATGTAGTTGTTTCGAAAAGTCTTCCATCTCCAAACGAAGATTTTCTTTTTCAGATGACTTAACCGGACCTTCTTTTGATAATTTTTGAACATTAGGAAGTTCACCAATTTGTGGTATAAAATCTTCATGGTGATGCTTTGAAAACTCAACAGTCAAAGTCCTGTCTAAGATTTTCCTCTGGTGCAATAAAGAAAGAGCATGCTTTGCATCACCATGATCTTTAAAAGTTGCAAAAGCAGTGTACTTCATTCTCCCTTTGTCGGGCATCACGCGAACCTTGATAGCACCCACAAGCTGAAGAAGTTCTTCTCTATCATTTGGTGAAAGCTCAGCGGGGAAGTGTTTTATAAATAATGTGCTAGATTCTAACATGTCCTAAAAAATTTCAACAAAACATTGTGAGAGAGATATAATTAAAAAAAAGAGTATGAATTTGAATTTAAAAAAAGAATACGAAGATCTACAATAAAAATCAGTTACAACCTTAATTCATAAATGCAGATTTAATCATTATAGCAAACTTGTTATTAACTGCAAAAGCACATAATATTAAAATAACAATAAAAGTACTATGGCTTTTGAAATAAATAATATAATATAATATATCTATAATCTATAAATATAATTAAAAAGTTTTTCTATTACAAACAGAAAATATATCGGACAAAAACCCTTAAAAACTATTCTTATTCGGAAAGAAATATTGTAAAAAATACCTTAGAAAATTCTGAAAACAAATGCATAAATGATCGTCTATCTACAACCAGCAGAAATATAAGCAATTATGATCCCTGAAAAAGAACTTGAGAACCTTTTCCTATGGATTCAGTTTAAAAAGTTCATTTAAGATATAATTTTTTGCGATAAAAGAACTAATAATGGAGAAAACTGAATAAAACGTTTCGCCAGAGCAATCTCTTTAGAACGACTTGTGTCTGTTAATAAAGGATTTCAAACTTATGCTTATGCTCACCAATAAATTATTTAAAGAATCAATTATATACATTTAATTGATAAAATTTATTATCTCATTACGTGTTGAAAATTCCTCATCGTCTATTTTTGAAAATAATCAATATTTAAAGCATTATTTAAGAAGCATTCCTCTTTGACTTGTTTGTAACCGTAAACGAGTTTAAGTTTTCTTCAAGCAGACGATATGAAAATGAGGGGGCGTGTATTTGTTTCACATCTCACACAAACACGCGTGTTTGCATCGAATGAACAAGGCATTTATATCAGAACCTTATCATTCAATAAATAAATTACTTCAAATAATTAGTAATTAGCGATGGTGATAAGCATCGAGCATGATGTATTTGGTGTGATAAAAAGTGCAGAAGAAAGCAGAGAAATCATTCGTTTTAAGTTAACTAATAATGTAATAGTTGTTCATTTAATAACGTATGGAGCTTCTATAATATCTCTGAAAATCCCAGGAAAAGATGGTGCATTAGAAGATATCGTTTTAGGATTTGACGATTTATCATGTATACATTAAGTATCTTTTTAATATTAAATGAAAGCCTATATACTGTTGATTCGGAGAATTTTAGATAATCATCATAGAATTTTTTTTTAAAAAAATTTAAATTTTCTAATCGGAATAAATGTATCAAAATAAAAATTATGGAAAAATACACACATTCACTTTTATTTTCCATTCATATTTATGTGAATATTTTCTTTAATTTGATTATTTATTCTCATTAACTTATGCTATTTGATTAGTTTATGATTATAGTTTTTTACATTATTCTTTTAAAAAAAGGTTTGAAATAATGTATTTGGTCCGTGCACCTCATTAAATAAATAAAATAAAAATTGCTTTATTCCAAAATCAATAATAATAATAAATCACATACTACATTTTAATTCTTTGTGCTGAACAATATTGAAGGAAAAAAAATAAAATGAGCAAAATTGCTATAAATAAATAAACAGCATGAATCAACAAGTGGTATTCGTTCATCGAATTCTATCACAATTAAAATTCCGGAAGGGGAGCACTGTGGCGTAACTACCACTATGAATATTAAACATCGAATCACTAGTATATAAGACATGTTAACTAGCTTCATCATCAAGAGGTATCTTTTGATAAACGAAGGTTGACATAGTGGATTTATAATTCACCTCGTGTTAAAGTTTAATTAATTCAAATAAAACTTAATTGTATTTGATTTTTTCAAAAAATTAATGTATTTAAAAATTTAAATTTAAAGCCGAAAATTTTAGTTTAGTAACATGAAATAAACTATTGAAACTAAATGTGAAAAATTCTAATACGCGTACGTAAAAATATTATTTAGGAATTTTTGACCAGATAGAGTGTATGCAAAAAGAACACTTGCTATCATTTTTTTTATGAAATAATTGTTCCAGTTATAAATTTTATATAATTCTTTTTCTTTTTTTCAGCTTACATTACGCATACACATTACTTTGGCAGTACTATAGGACGATGCGCTAACCGAATAGCTGGAGCGCGATTCCATTTGAATAAGAAAGTTTTTAATTTAGCCCCCAACAACGGAAAAAATCATTTACACGGGGGAATGAAGGGTTTCGATAAGGTAATATTTTTAATTTCAATATTAGAAAAGAAATTAATAAAATTTTTCCGTTATATATATAGTCGGACCCCGATTTAACGAACCCCTATTTAACGAATTTCGCGATTTAACGAATTTTTTTTCAACCCCAGCAAAGACAGAGTCAAAAACTCCTAATTAACGAATAATTTCCCCCAAATTAACGAATTATTTCAGCATCCGGAAAAAATATTTTTCCTTAATTTTGATCAGAAAAATATTGCATTTTTTTTGTAATTGGCAGATTTTAAAGGGAAAAAAATCTTTCCTGGGAGTAATAAAATAGAAAAAGTGCATATTCGTCTCAAACAAAAGAAAAGCCCGCAACAGGGAAAAACAAAATTCGGAGTCAATAAGACATTACACTTGCAAGGTCATTTTCCGGGGGTTTGTCACGTGGACTATGAGTCAAACAGGAAATTCCTTTCTTATCTTAGATAGTCGTTTATAACTAGTAATTTTTAATAATACATTTGTACATATATCAATTTTTTTTTAACCCCGATTTTACGAATGACCCCGATTTAACGAATAAAATTTCCGGTCCCGATGAATTCGTTAAATCGGGGTCCGACTGTATATATATATTGTAAGTTTAAAT